GGGTTGGCATTGTCACGTCTTCTCGATTATTTATGAGAAGATAAATGAATGGGCGTTAGTGCGTGTGAATACCCCACTCATTTCTACCTGTTTACTCCGTTTTACTAGTAGACATACCCGTCATAGGGTGGGCCTTTAGAATTGTTAGTAAATATATTAACATGTCTGTGGTGGTAGTTCACCTGGATACATAAAAATATATAAAAGCAGAGTAGACTAGATATATAGATGTGAAGAATGAGAGACAAATATGAATAGTCATATATATATATATATATATATATATATATATATATATATATATATATATATATATATATATATATATATATATATATATATATATATATGTGTGTGTGTGATAGAGATAGATAAATAGATACATATGAGCAGAATGAGGGAGATATACAGATAAATAGTATGTAAGATGGAATAAAGCCATTTAGATATTTACTTTTGTTAACGTTTCATTCCTCTCAAGCGCGCAATTTTAGTTTTGCTCGTTTGAGAGTCTTGAAAACTTTGCATTTTCTATTAGCCTTAAATACTTTGTTCGAATATTTTATATGAGTTATTTACCACCGACAAATATATATAAACACACACACACACACACACACACACACACATATATATATATATATATATATATATATATATATATATATATATTGTTGGGTTTCTATACGGGGACCATCATATAGCCTGACGTGCCTTTAACCGATTTGGCCACAGCGAAGCGTTCGGTTAGCAAGGTCGAATTTACTGTCTTTAAACTACAATCTTCCATGAATCTCTCACATTCATATCTGCTCATGGCGTATCCAAATGTAAACAAATGACGTCACACATTATGAAATGGACAAAGTCCGACAATTATTTTAAGACATTTTTATGTTTATACATTATTTTTTTATTCTTGTCTGCTCCTCAGGTGGTTTGTTCAGCAAATCAACTACACCAAGCTATATATATATATATATATATATATATATATATATATATATATGTGTGTGTGTGTGTGTGTGTGTGTGTGTGTGTGTGTGTGTGTGTGACGAAATGTAGTTTCAAGGTGTGCTATATTTATGGGATAAAGTGCTCAATATCAGAGTTAGAGCGTATATAAATATAATATAAAAGTGAACATTGAAGTCAACACTCAGAGTTGACAGGCTGTTTCATGCTAGACGCAACCGTCAGGCCGTATTTATACATGCACACACACAATATATATATATATATATATATATATATATATATATATATATATATATATATATATCGTGTACTCTCCTGTGGTAGACCCGCGCCTACTAGGGATCCTAAGCACGGCGGCAGAGGGAAGCAAGGACTCTCCGCCAGACCGCCTTCGCCGCGATAACAGCAATTTTTTTTTCCCAATTTTTCCTTTTTATACATTTAACTTTGGTTTAAGTTCTTTCTGTATTTTTTGTGTTCGTGTCTGCGTTTATGGATATTTTTGGAAACGTCGTGAGCTCTCTCTGCTCTATCGTGATATATATATATATATATATATATATATATATATATATATATATATATATATATATCGATATAGCATAGAGAGGCCTACTACGTTTTCAAAATATACATAGCATTTATTAGAACTGTTCTTAAAATGATAAAACGAAATATTAGGTTTGAGTTAATAAGTAATTTTTGATTTTGAGAACCAATTTCTATGACGACTATAACTCCCAATTGTACATGGCAGTTAAGAATCAATTTGGATTAATACTAACGTAATATTATTCTTGCACAATAGTGACAACGAAACCATGGATTAATGATTGAACAAAAGCACATACAGCAAAAAGGATAAAATGTTGGTATGTTTTCCCCGTATCTGCCATATTCACCTGACTTTGCACCAATCGGATGACGACCGTTTTTGATCGCTGCAAAATGCTTTGATGGTGGAATACTTTACCTAATAAAAACCAATTCCAAGAGACCATCGAAAGCTTTTTCACATTAAAACCTCAGAATTTTATTCAAAAGCTAACGAAGAGCTGCCTGATAAGTTACAAGTAGACATTTCAAATATTGGCAAATATAAAATGTATTTGTAATTTATATTTAAAAAATAAATTTGATAAAAGCCCGAAGTGATTTGATTCAACATAATATATTTTCGAAGATGTTTTTAAATATTTTGGAAAATCGATTCCGGCTCAGTGCTGATGGTAATGATGAGATTAATCGTTCCCTTACAAGAAAACATTCGACATTGGCCAAACAGTTAGCTTTACATTCGGTAGATATTTATAATTTTTTTTTCTTACATCAGTTTTTCAGGAAAGTTGGTTTCCCAAGTCCACTAACTGTTATCGCTCTTTCTAGTACTGATGAGAGTTTCCTTTCTTAGTATTTGTTTGAAGTATTGTGGAAAGTCAGCAGCTTGATTATGCCATTATTTTCTCTTCGAGTTTTGTGTTAGCTCTTTTAGTTGCTATACTATTTGGTACAGTTCTTTGTGATTCTGCAGCTTCATTTCACGAGATTCGATGAAGAATGGCCCACTCTAAGACTTACTGGGTTCATTCAGTGGAAGCCATTTTTTAAAAACTGTTGTAATACACCTGACTGTTTAGGCATTTTTGAACGAGTTCGATGCTAATCATGACATCCGCATGACTGTCTACGTCTGGCGAGGCTATTTAAGAACATAAATCCAGTTTGATGATGCGCTACGAACAGGATGTCCTTTTGATTCTAACAATTGCCACCTTTTGTCTGATCTTGATTGATATAAGATTGTTAACTATTTCAGCATTAGCTAAAGAACAAAGTTATTCAACGGTTCATTTTCGTCTGTGCTCCAAGATTTATTTAAAGAAAGATTTTTAGGATTTGCACTTCTTTGCAATCTTGTGAACGCTTCTCACCATTTTGAACGTCGAATGAAAGATGATGAAAAATATTTAAAAAACAAAACAGGGTGAGAGAGAATTTACCTACAATATGTCATTTACATGACATATTGTAGGTAAAAACAACAGACAGAAAAATCGATGAAGTTGCTTAACTCGCGTCTGGATTAGGAGGGATAGTAAAAGGGAAAAAATTATTTAGAAGTACGGAGGATAGGAAGTTGTGGAGAGTTATGATCAGGTACGATCTGAAAATTGACGGCAGATTACAGTACATCGCAGTTTGCCACTCATTTTGTTTTTAACGAAATCTTTTGTTTTGCTTAGTTTTTGGGAGACGTTTTCCGCTAGTGTACTTTCGAATTCCAGTCCCATTTTCCCGGATAAATGTTTGTAATTGCTTTGTTTTGACGTTTCTAATTTATAGCTCGCATCTTGGGCATTATTATTTTATGACAACCAGATAATTACAATTGATTATTATTTCTTTCTTCCAGATTTCTTATACTGCCGTGTCTCGGAGTTCGTCCGCCATCAACAAAGTGTCATTTGCGTATCTTATGTCGGTAAGATTGTGCCTACCAATAATAAACTCTGGTATGACTTCTAGTACTCTGAGCATCATCTCGCTCTAAAGGTTAAATTATTCCGATGATAAGACGCATTTATCTCTTACGTCCCTTAGAATTTTGTGTATTTCTCTTTTGTACGTATGCAGGTGGCGTGCTTTCAGCAAAAGTTCTTGATTATGCTAATATCTTCCATAAATAAATAGTTCTCTAAGCAGTTCCAATAAATCTTTGTGTTGTACCTTATCAAATGCTTTTGTGTTTTCTATGAAATATAGATAGAGTTCTGATAAAAAAAAAAGTATCGGGATCGGTACTATAGAAAGAAAAATCCAACACAAATTCGGCATTTAATTTCCTTCGTATTAGGCGCCCTCAACCTGGAGCCACACATTCGGCGTCGTTTCCATTGATGTAAGCATTTCTGGAACTCTTTTTTGGGATAGCGAGCAGATGCCTCGTCGCATTCTCCTGGATTGCTTCAACGTCTTGAAATCTTGTTCCTTTCATGTGGTATTTGATTTATTTGAAAGAGGAAAAAGTTGTAAGGGAGCAATCTTGGAAATATAGTGGTTCGCCAAAAACTGCTGCATAAGCCATGATCACTAATGAGACCTCTAGTTTAGCGAGACAACCACACTCTATACACTTACCTTCCAAGCACTGCTATAAACAACGAAAATGAACGAGAACGTTATAAGTTAGCGTGCAGGTGCAACAGAGTTCAAGGTCAATCTGTACCAAGCAGAATCATTTTGTGTTCTTTAGCTCATTTACCATAGCAAGAGTTCGGATACGTTTTGATTGGACCTGGTATGCGGCTGAAAACATTCTGATTTTAAATATTATATTTTTTTAAATATCTCTGCATCAGAATTCGGATGATAAAATGTCCAATAAAACATACTTTTTTTTAAAAACTAATTGCTTAGCTTCCTACTATGCCATGGACATGTCATCAGATCATTCTAATTAGTTTCGTATTCCATTGGTAAGGAGAAAGTTCCACTTGGATTCCTCAGAGTTGTCTGAAATATATATCAGCTTTAAATAACACACAAAGTATTGATAAGCCGTAAAAAAATCAACCCCCTATAGATGTCACTTTGTAAAGCACACTCCCGTGAGGATGCTTTCCCGGTTACTACAATCTTAGCCTCTTTAGTTTAGGGTTAACTGATCTCTACACCACATATGCTCATAATATGCACTTCTCCCTCTTTCCCATTTCTTGCGCCATTGCAACAATCTGATTTAGAAACCATTTACCTTGAGTGGCTCTTGGGCCTTGCATTGGGTCAAAAATTTTGCTTGTTTCCAAAGAAAAATTGATAAACTCACTCACACGTGCATTTTTCATACGTGGTAGAGGATGGTCGTTGTTGCATAACTGACTCGGCAGAAGCTTTTCCCGCAGTAGACTGCCGTCATTCTGCCGTAGACTGGTTGCCAATCAAGGCTATAAAGCCTAATCTCTCCTGTTATTCACCTCATACTTTGCAGAAGGGAGAAGAGGTGGATTCATAACTTTCCTAAG